TTTCCTTCATGATACAGCCTCATTTCATATGTGCCTTTTGTCTACCTTTTCTGATCACTTCCAACAAGTATTCGTGTCTCATTTATGACATTCTACCTTTTTCTTATACTTTGGGAGGGCTGGATAGCTGGGATTATGTGAAGCAGGATTCCTGCTCTGCAGTACAGAGAGGTTGTTCCACAGTTCCTCCTGCGGCAATCCAATAGCAGTGGCAGCTGCAAACTAAGACGCTTTTCCAGTCTTTTAACCTTTTAGTTACATAATAAACTTTTTTTTTTTCTAAATTACAGACTTGTCTTTGATTTCCTTCTGAATTCTTGCAGTTATGTGATAAGCCTTCTTTGGGGACAAAAAACTGTTCATAATTTGTCGTTTGGCTTAGAAGAACGAGGGAGATGGTACTGTTTGATATGTTATAGATTTTATTTTCCTAGGAAAAACTATATTAACTCCTGTACAAAGAAGAAATCTCCATAAGGCTAAAGACACGACTTGGCTATGGCTTTCATCTTGTCAGAATTAGGGAGTAGAAAATTTCTGTAATAGAAGAAAGAAGACTTCTGCTGTAATAATCAGGCAGAAAACTTACACCTCACCTACAGCAGTCCTCTGAACCCGTGCCAGCTTCACCTTCTGTTGTCACCTAAACTGTCACATGGACAGTGGAATGGATCATGTTAAAAGTGATAGAGATGTAAAAGAAAACCCATATTGCTAGGCAATCTTGGCTATGGTAAATAAGCATGTCATTAAAAAAAGACCAGAAGCAGAATAAATCTAGAGGAGATCCCAAAGTGGTTGCCGTAGATTACAGTGCAATGTCATCAATTTTAGCATTCTGGTTTCCGGACACAAACACAGGGAGACAAAGAGCGAGGAAGGAAGGAAGAATGGAAACCAGGGCTGGGGCAGAGGGACTGTAATAACTTGATCCAGAACACTTAGATACACCGGAAAACACGATGCGAAGGAAAAGGAAAGGAAGTACTTTGATGTGCTAAAAACATTTCTTCTGAGTATGTAAATATTTGTTTTCAAGGTGTGATGTACCTTTGATACTAATCAACTGCTTTTTTAATCTTTTTCTGCCTGTGTTAGACTGAGTTTGACCAACAGTAGGCAGGTAACTAAAGGCATACAGACAGTTTGCAATCCAAGGAAATTTACAGAAAATCAGTTAGGATTAACAAAGATTGAGAATGGTTTCTTTTTCTTTTCTCTTTTCTTTTCTCCTTTCCTTTCCTTTCCTTTCCTTTCCTTTCCTTTCCTTTCCTTTCCTTTCCTTTCCTTTCCTTTCCTTTCCTTTCCTCTTTTTTTTTTTTTTTAAAGAAGGTTCTTGGCATCTGGGACTACATTAAAAGCATTTGTGTGACCTAAATGGAAGAGGACTTTCCAAATTATTCATCTGACAGGGCTGAGCTAATCTGGCCGTGTTGGCCCACATTTTGTCATGTCAGGCTAAGACCAAAGTCCTTCTCAAGTTCCTTTCTTCTGGGTACACCTTACTTTATGGTTTGAATCTTGGGGTCTCAGTACCAAAGACCACCAATATCACCACACAGAGATCTGGTAAAGGCCAATGCAGTCACATGCGGAAGTGACCCCAATGTGACTCTGAACTGTACTAGAAAGTTATGCCCCAGAAGCGGCATATTTGTGATATACTCAATGCACAATACAAACTAGGATCTACACATTTAAAGAGATGAGAAAGGAAGTCCTTCTATTTCAAGTCTTTTCCTTACTTTTGATCTCAGAATTTTAAATATTTCACATCTTTCCAAAGCAAAGTAGGTTAAAAAAATAATAATTAGTAAAGCATTCTATGATACAGGCTTGGGGCAGAGTGTCCGGAGAGCTGTGTGGCAGAAAAGGATCTGGGAGTGTTGGTTGAATACGAGGCAGCAGTGTACCAGCCAAGAAGGCCAACAGCCTCCTGGTTTGTATCAGACCAGCAGGACCAGGGAAGTGATCGTGCCCCTGTACTTGGCGCTGGTGAGGCTGCACCTCAAATACTGTGTTTGGTTTTGGGCCCCTCACTACAAGAAGGACATTGAGGCACTGGAGCACGTCCAAAGAAGGGCAATGAAGCTGGTGAAGGGGCTGGAGCAAAGATCTTACGAGGAGCAGCTGAGGGAGCTGCGGTTATTTAGTCTGGAGAGAAGGAGACTTGGGAGACCTTATTGCTCTCTACAACTACTTGAAAGGAGGTTGAAGTGAAGTGGGGGGATGATCTCTTCTCCAGAATAACTATAGATAAAACAAGAGGAAATGGCCTCAAGTTGTGCCAGGGGAGGTTCAGGTTAGACATTAGAATTTCTACAGAGAAAGAGTAGTGAAGCATTGGAAGAGGCTGCCTAGGGAAGTGGTGGTGTCACCATCCCTGACAACGTTCAAGGAACATGTAGAGGAGGCACTTAGGGACATGGTGCCGAAGGGTTTATGGCTGGACTCAGTGATCTTAAAGGTTTTCCTACCATAATGATTCTATGATTCTTAACTCTTTCTTAAACAAGAACATTTGAATTTTACTTAGTGGTTATTCTTGAGGTAGAAAAAATAGGCAGCTCAGGCAGAACTTTCTTTTCATTCTGTTATTTAAAACAGACTTCAGAGCAGGTGGGTGACTTGCTTTTGCTAACACACTTACTACAGAAAGCACACACATATGAAAGACAGCAACACACATTCCTTTTTTTTTTAATAAAAATACTCTAAAATACTCTAAAAGTAATGGGCGATAGCAGAAAATTCCTTTCCTAATTTTGCTCAGAAACCAAGAGGCGACTGAAGTTTGGATTCATTCCTATTCTCAGCTTCCTCAGGAGATTTGGTAAAAGCAAGACATGCTAGCCAGAATTCCACATTTTTAGATGTAGATAAGGCTGCTACACCATTTAGAAGGCCAGGATTTCATTTATAAGGTGCTGGATCTGGAAAGCTTTCGTGTAAGGCCCTAAGCTCACGATCTCCAGCAGAGGAGGAAATGCAGGGTGTCAGCAGCAAGCAGCCGAGCACAGAGCAGAGATGTCTCAGTTCAGTGCATAGGCTGACACAGTTGACTGCAATGTAGAGATTATGTATGGGTCCGGAGAGAAAAATATTTATGTTAGCATAACATTACTTTCACCAGCAGCACTTCAACAGCAGTGCTTAAGCACAGGACCAAGTTACCATCCTGTAAATTTTCAAGTTTCTTGCAAAGGTTGAAAGAAGTTGTCATTGCTGACAGATGGCTCCTTTCCTGGAGGTTGCAAGAGGGATATAATCATGGAACATGCTTCTGGATCCCTAACTTCACTCCTGAGGACATGCAAGGCAGGAGGGAACAAGCAGTGTCCACCTGCAGTACTTAACCAGGAGTGAAAGCATGGATAGTCTCTTCTTAGAGATCACCTTCTTAGACTATGTTGAAGACTGATCAGGGCAGTGATGGTGACTGCGATGAGGAGTCTTTGCTCTGCAGGTTGAACCCCTTTTCCACCTTCCCCCAGTCTTAGCCTGGCTATAGGCTTCAGCCACTCAAGAAAAAAAAAACTAGAAATTTGAAACGTGCCTGCAGTTGATTGCAGAAAAGGTGTTTTAAGTAGTAAATGTCTCTCTACAACTCAGACGTCAGGCACCAGAGTGGGATATTCAGGGTCAAACTTCCAGAAAATCAAGCTCATCCATCAGTAGCAGAGCCAGCAAAACCAGTTTTTCTTCAGATTTTACTGTTATGTCCTTGATAGCTTCCCCTGACAGCAACAAGCTACCACAATCCTAACTCTTCTTTTTCACATCTCACTCCCTCATGTATTTCTCTCAGTTATGGCTCCATGTGCATCTTCCCATTCCCCTTCCCCGGAATCAACTCCCACTTCCTGTCACGTCCCTGCTTCCAGACCCTTCTCTGCTTAGGGCAACAGATAATGCAGCAGATTTGGGGAACGCAGACCAGCCAGGCAGTGCTGGTTTGCCATTAGACAACACAGCCCAACGTTGCATTTCTACAACAGCCTTTCCCTGGGCTAGGGCAACAATTTCCAGGCTGTTGCTGATTTTCATTAAATGTTTTGAGAATTTAAATCTCCTTAAGATCTTTATCCTTCTGTCAAATTTGTTCTGAATGGGGCATCACTGCGCAATGACAGACAGATGGGATAATCACATAAGCCTCCTTTCACTGGAAACCCATATTAAAACCCAAAAGGCAAAGCAGTAAAAATAATTATGCTGCTTTTCAGAGAAAGGCTGGAGATAGAAAGACCTGACATAACTTGCTGAGGATTGTGCAGTAACCGAGGTCGGAAACCACGTTTAAGGACTCCCTTCAAAACATTAGGAGTCCTCTACGTGGTGCTTAGCTGCACAGGGACGTACAGGCCCCGCTGGCTACAACCGGCAGTGATGGCTCTGTGTGCGTTGTGCCAGACACAAACTCCGGAGGAAATCAGGTCCCTTTCTCTCTCTCCATCCTCCCCCCACCCCGGCTAATCACTCTGGGGAATGGACGTGATGCCTGGGATAAGCAGGTCTGCAGAGGCAGCCGGGAGCATTTCGGGAAGACACGTGTTATGTAAGTGGTAGGTATTATGCAAGCAGCCCGGCGCGGGATTCGGTGCTTTAGGACAGCCCAGGCATTGCCTGTGCTTCCCATCGTGCTTGTTGCTTAAATTACAGTTTCTAAAAGAAAGGCATTCTCCAAGCTGTAGGGCAAAACAGACCCCAGGTCCCTGAAAACCTGCCTGTTTTCACTGCTGGAAATATTATCTCTATTTCACAAGGGGAAAAAAAAAAAAA